AAAGGTCTACTCCTTTTCATCCAGAGCTATACTTGCACCGGTCTCCTTTTTGTGAATGTTCTCTTTCATATTCATATTTTTTTTCATTTTTAACAAATCAGTTCAAAATTCAACTTCTAAAAGTGGCTTTTCTTGACTATCCACTATTATTACCCGTTTAAATTTTCTTTTACATTTTCTTTGTTAAAGTCTGTTTGCCCGTTATTAATGGAAGGTAAGCTCCCATGGGAGCAAAACTTGTCTGTTTGGTTCACAATTATTGCCTGAACACTTAGAACAATACCTAACACACTACAGACTCTCAATATACATTTGTTGAATGAACAGCATATTGGGCTTAGCATTAATATTACTGCATGTAGAAAACATTCCAAATAGAGAAATCAGATGAGTATTTTACAGGATGTGGAAAAGGATGAGAAAACAGACTGAAAGGCTTGAAATTCATGACAAAGCAATAAAATAAAACATAAACTGAACTCTTTAAGAAGTAGTACTGGATGAAGAAGGAAAAAAACATGAGACTGTTTGGATAGATGTCAATGAATACTGTAGATGGGCATGCCGTACCTTATCAAGAGTTTTATATATTGACCAAAGTTAAGCCCCACTGTCTTCTGAAACAATTGTTTCTTAGTAAGGCAATAAATGATAAGCAGATAGGCTTGGTTCTACTCCATGACCCTTTTCTTTTTAATTTGCACTATTTTTTTAATTAGTTGTTGATGGACCTTTATTTTATTTATTTGTATGTGGTGCTGAGAATCAAACCCAGTACCTTATGAATGGTAGGCAAGTGTGCTACACTGAGCCACAACCTCATAATTTGCACCATCTGTTGAAGAATTTTGCCAGGATTAAGAAATAAATAAAACAAAAGTTCTCTCTTGAAAAAAAAAAAAAAACTTTGGCCACAGCAAATATATAGAATGGTGTTCAAGTCTTAAGATAGTCAATTAAAAATTACAAAGAAATTTTTAATAATAAGTTAGGAAACAATTTTGTTACGAAACATCTCTTTGAAAAATAAAATTTTCTTCCTCAATTCTTAGTTCACCTTTGTATTAAAATGCTACATTCTCGTTATGTTCAGTGAAATAATTAAATCTAAAATTAGCCATTCTTCTGTTTTCATGAGTTACTTATTAGTTATTAAAGCAAATGATGAATTAATTTTTAAAATGATAGACCTCTCCAATTTCTCCACCCCCCCGCATGGTGCTGAGTACTGAACTCTTAGCTTCACACATGCTAGACAGCACTCTAGCTAGACTCCAAGCTAGACCCCCCCATCCTCCAATTCAACTTATAATTGAAATGTTTATTCATTCACACACACACACACACACACACACACACACACACACACACACACACAGTGTTAGGAATCAAGACTAGGGCCTCACTCATGCTAGGCAAGCACTCTACCACTGAGCTACATCCTCACTCTGAAATATTTTTTAAAACAGTCAACTCAAAGCAATCTATTATAATTTATCATATTAGACATTTAATTTCAATACTGAAAGTATTGAAATCAGCTTGTCTAATCCTTGGCTTTACAGATAAATTTAAATTCACTTAATTTTTACTATTCCTTCCCGTTTTTTGTTTTTAAAAAAATCCGTTTAATTAAAATAACAACATGCCACAAATTATTTAAAATGCCTACCAGTAACTATTAGCTTTTCTTCTAAGATTTATAATTTCATGATCTTATGAAAAAAAATGAAATTTAGTCATGTAATTTTTTTTCAGTGAAGCAATAACAAAATATTAATTGTTTAGGTTGGTTTTTTTTTTTTTTTAACTTTTCAACTCTTTAACTGTTCCACAATCTTAACAATGCTCTCCTTTTAGTTTCTTTAGAAACTAAAGATGTTAGCCTTACAATATCAGGCTGAATTTAACACGGCACAAACTCTATCCAAGGAATAAAATGAATAAAGTATGAACTAATGATGGCACCATTTTCAGTAATACCACACACTATATATATGTGAAACGCCACTACAGACAACAAATGCAAAGTGTTAAGATTTAGCTAGTCAACTAATTAGAACCAAAATGTTAGTCTTCTTCCATAAACAAAAAGCAATTCAGAAAACAGAAGGCTCCTAAGTTTTAATTGAGAGAAATGTTTCTCCCCTATTAATGAACCCATGGCAAGAAAACATTTATTTCCTGATTATACATTTTCTTTACCTCATACCAAACCAAGTCTGTTCCTTAGTTCTCCAAAGTCTGACAGCCAGACACAGAAATGAAAAATGAAGTGAATTCAGTTCATACTGGAAGTTTTAAAGTACATTCTCTAAAACAATTTTGGTTTTAAAAATCAAATTAAAAATACCTGCTCTGAGATAATTCTGAGACATAAATATATCAAAATAGATTCTTGACTATCAAGAATATATATAACTAAAATGAACAAACAGAAATTTAAAAAAAAAATAAGCCTGCTTCCTAAGGCTATATCTAAAAGGAGAATAAAAATACCTGCCTTAACTCGTTCATAGAATTGTTTTAAAAAGTATAGAGTATTAGATGCAAAAACAAGTTTCTCCTTCTAACATCCAAATAATTAGTTTGGTAATAATCGCAAAGGTCACTAGTCCTCCCATCCTCTCAGACTCTGTCAAACAGCTTCCCAGTTTTTCCATGTGAACACACCCTATCACAGTCTAGCTGTTGTGCTTCAGCACTCACACCAAAACCACGTTCTTCCCAGGAGCTGCTCCAAGCCAAGGACAGAACACACCAGGGAAGCTAGAGAGAAACCATTCGTACTGTGAGGAACTGTGTTAAAAGGCAATCTTTGCTTCACTATACTCTGACACTGTTCCTATCCAACTTTCCTTCCTTCCCTCCTTCTTCCCATTCACAGATATCACATCTGAATCACAGTCTTCTTTCCCCATAATTCTTTAAATTCTCCTGTTAATCTTTCATGGTGTTTCTTCCTCAGTCTTCATTCAATGTCCAATTCCATCTTGGAAGCTGCTTATCAGAGAACCTAAACTAACAAACTGAATAAAAAAGCCTCACATATAGATGCACCACACTGAATAAAAAAGCCTCACATATAGATGCACCACACTGTGAATTTCAGAACATCTACGATAAAGGAAAACAATCTTTTAAGTTTTTATATGGAAAAATATTGAGTTATCAACAAAAGAAAGAGGATAAAATTCTCATCAGACTTCTCATCAGCAACAATGGACACTAAAATTTAACATAATGATATTAATTAACTGATATAAAAAGTACAATATAAAAATGTCTGACCTAGAATTCTATATCCAAATAAACTAACACCAAAAATTTACAAATTTGATATTCCATATATCCTTTCTAGTGAATTTCAACAAAATAAGACACTTAAAAACAAACAAAAAATCCAATAGGACAGATGGTCTAGGATCCAGATGGAACAGGAGAGCAATCCCAAAAAATCTGTAAAAGAGCAGATTCTCTTCATGGGCCTAGAAAGAAAACAGTCTGTTTTGCAGCAGGAGGACAAAGGCTCTCTCCAGAACAAAAGTCCTTAAAAAAAATTATACACACACACACACACACACACACAAGTTCAAAAGAAAAGATGTGAAAAGAAGTTTTTAAAACTTGGGATATGATGTCATATATAACTAAAAAGAACAAATAAATAATTTTTAAAAATTGGGATATGATAAAGAAGTGAGTACTGGCCCCAAGGCCAAATTGTCCAAGGATAAAGCAAACTAAAATTATCATTATTTTAGGCTATTATTGGTGAATGAGTGAAGAAAGAGAAAGTTAAGAAAAAATTACTGATTTGACCTTGAAGATCCAAAGCATTCTCTTCTGAGTAACCCAGAAATTATGTCACTGTAACTTATAAACAAAAGTTTGTACAAAAGTACAAACTTAATACATAATTTGGTATAATAGTGAATAATATTTAAATGATTATATCAACACAAGTGCTATTTAATGATTTCCAAATTTTAGATCAACTATGGAACAATTACAGAAGGGCTATACTTGCATGCATAATACAGTTATTAGCAAACTTGAAAATATAACTGTATAGCTAACAGAAAGTAGTACATTGGCCAGGGTAGAAGAAGAAGGAAAGTAGAACTAAGGGCAGGGATATTAACAGAGATTGTTACCAAAATCACAGTCTTCCATCTCAAGGAACCAAGCCACAAATTGATAAATCAATTTAGTAAAAGAGGAATTAGAGATATAAGCATATTTTCCAAAATTCTAGAACATCAGAATTAAGAATTGGGAAATTTTTACAATCTTAAATTGTTTAAAACCAAATAAACAAGAGAGACTATTTAGGACATAGAGCTGAGGATAAAAAGTAAGATAAGATACATTCTATTATTTGATTTGTTTCAAATTTTTATATTACTTTAATAAAAATATTTCAAAACTAAATGTTATTTATTGTATAAGTCCAAGTACGATAAGTTACTCAGCCTACAGCAAGCAAGCCTTCCTAACTTCTACTACATTCTTATTCTATACTCTCCCTGCCTCCCCAATGATTTTGCTTCTTCAGTTTGTTCCAATTCTCTATTGTTTGATTTGCCTCCTTCTCCATCCTTTCCTTTTACCTTAAGCCATGACAGGCCTCCCTATTCTAGCACAAACAAAAAATTCAATTGATTGGAATGTTCGAAATAATGTCTTTCCTATTTCTCTTGTACTTTTCATTCCATCTTTAAAAAACAGTCTATTTCCTCTGAAATCTAGCTTTTTTGTTATAGCAGACCACAAGTTGCTGTCACAAAATACTATGAACTGGGTAAACTTATGAACTGCAGAAATTTATTTCTTACAGTTCTGGAGGCAAATATGTCCAAGACGATAAAGACGCTAATGAATTTGGTTTCCAGAGATGGTTAGCTTTCTAACTCACAAATAATGCCTTCTTGCCACATCTTTACATGGTAGGAGGGGTTAAGTTCCCTGTGCTAATGAAAATACCTGACAAGAACAACTTAAGAGAACAAGTTTATTTAGGGTTCATGATTTCTGGAGTTTGGTCCATGGTCAGCCAACTCCATTGCTCTGGGCCCAAGGTGAGAGAGAACATCATGATGGAGGAGGAAAGCTGCTCAGTTTATGGTCACCAAGAAACAGAGAGAGGGAAAGAGAGACCGGGGTGGGGGGCACACATAAGAAATTACAGACAAAATATCCCAAAGTGAACACCCCCAGTGATCTACTTCCTTCAGCCAGACCCAATCTGTCCACAGTTACTATCCAGCAATCCATTCGAATTACTACTTTGATCAGTTTATGGCTCTCATAATCTAAATATTCACCTCTGACCATTGCTGTGTTACATATCATGTTTCTAACACATAAACTTTTTGGAAGATACTTCATATCCAATCTATAACACTCCCATGGGCCTTTTTAAATAAAGGCACAAATCCCATTTCTGAGGGTTCCACCCTAATGACTCAATTCTATCCCAAGAGCCACTAACTCTTAATACTCAGACAGTTAGAGAGCACCATAACTCATGACTTGACAGACATTAAAGACAATAAGTTTATTCCTATGCTCTCCTACCTTAATTCATAGATTGTTAGCTATTAAATGCTTTTATGTGCCTTGCCCACCACCCTAAGAACAGCCTTATCAGCTTCAAAGACCTGGTGTATCTCTGGGCCAGGATGCTCTTGCCATGACTCTTCAAGGACAAACAACATAAAAGATAAAAATTGAGGAGCCATCAAAACAGGACATTCCTAGGGCCCTTGTTATTTGCCATGATTTATGCTCTCTTCTATTTCCCACTTATGTGTTCTCTTAACAGCTATAGCAATTCATCACAAGACAGAGATGTTTACACAGAATGTGGCACTGATATAAAAAACTTACATCTGACTTCAGGACAACTGACCATGCCTTTCTTAGAGTTACAGTACACTCATAGAAAAAGAAAAACACACCTGTGAAATGTACCTAAATCTAATTAATATTTCTAAACCTTAGCCTTATGCAAACAGCCCTTTTACCAGAATAAAACTGGCTCTCTTTTACTAGGGAAACCAGCCTGACACTCTCCAGTCAGTGCTGTATCTCCCTTCTCTTAGGAGAAGGACTAATAAAAGCCTTTCCTGTCTGTTTTCTCACCTGACTTGTTTTACGTCACTGAGTCAGCATTCTGGTGTGTAGCACCTAATACCTTGGGGGTTAGAATTTCAACATGAATTTTGAAGGGACACATTTAGACCACAGCAAACAAACTTTAATGTAATCATGTTTCTACAGTTCTCATTTCACTTAATATTTTACCCAAAGCATTTATTTTACCCAAGATTTACCCAATCTTTCTTTCTACCCTTTTTCTCTAAGGTGGGGATGGTAATGGAAGAAGAAAAGAAATACTTCACAAGACCAGGGTTCCAAATAACGTCTGAGAAATGCTAGCATGAAGTGTTCCAATTATAAATGCATCACTGCTGTGGTTCAAGAATATTTAATCTTCTGTCTTTTGCCACTGAAAAAAAAAAGCCAAGTAAATAACTAAAAACAACCAATTGCTTATGAGTGTTATGATACTTATTAGTTGGGCTTCATTGTCTTTCCTTTCATAATCATTTGGTTGCACAAGACTAATAATAGGACACAAGCCTAAAACTCTCTAAAGATACTGAGTCCAAAGCTCAAAATGACACATTGCTTCAATATGTGTCAAATTATCCTGTATCAAATCCAACATGCCCCACAGAAAATAGTAAAGATCTTCAGAATTAAAATGAATAGTAAAAAAAAACAACCCATAGATGATCAAAAGTTCACCATTAGACAGTGTCCTGATTTTCTTTACACTATAAACAATTTTGACTGTTTAAAATATATTTAAAGTATTAAAAGTATGCTATTGCTTTGGGTCATTTATGTCCATTTGTAAGATAATCAAATCAGAAAGGCCCACATCATAGTTATTGGTACAAGGAAAAAAAAGCTAATTTATGGAGCCATATTTATGGAAAAACTAGCTGATTTTTATTATCATCAATGCCAAACAATACTTTAAATCAATTAAAATTATTTCATTAAGCATAAAGTTACTTTCACATTTGCTACAATCATAGTAAATATATTTCTTGGCATAAAGATAGTCTTTTGGGGGGTTTAAAATATCCCAAGTGCAAGATTATGTATATAAAACTCCCATTATTGTTTATGTAATAGTGGATTCATCAAATTAAAATAGTTATACTATCTAGAATAAAATAAAATGGAAATAATTTACTCATAAGATTCATATTTAAATCATCTTTATTTACAAAATACTATCCTGAGAATTATAATTTCATTAAGCTTCAATTTGAGCAAAAGTATAATCACTTAAGTAACAGCAGTTACTTAAACTAAAAATAAGAGATAAGTCAAATTACTTTTGAAGAGAGATCAAAAATATTGTCAGGTTTCTTGTTGTGGTTCTGGATGTTCAGTAGCAGGCTCATTTGAAGGCGGAATCAACCCTGAAGGGAACTCACTTCTACTTTCAGAATGTGGGGGTGAGGGGAAAAATCCAGCTCTTGGGGGAAGAAAATGAGGAAAACCCCTCGGTGAATAAGCATTTCTCACTGTTTAAAGAGATTGGTAAAAGACATGTTTAATTTAAACTGTAACTATAGCCCTATTATATTTATAACTTCCAACACCTATTTTTATATTCAAATGGTGACAAAAGAATAAGTATTTGATCTATTTTACATTGAGAAAAATACACTTTCTTCAATTATATATGATTAATGATAATATTATTAATTTTAAACACAATTTATCCTAACTTTTTTTTAAAAAAGAGAAAAGAATTATTTCAAAATATGCAAAACTGACTTAAAAACATTAATAGTTTCCCAGACTTAATATTCAGATTAGTGATTCTGACTTGATACTATACTAAAACATTTCCAGTTAAACCAACAACTGTCTTAATATTCCTCAAAATTTATTTTAATTCATCTTAACTAAAAATAGAGAATAGAAGAATGACTACATCAGAAAACTAATATGCTTTTGTCTATTATTTGGTAATCATAACTTATTCTGCAGTAACCTATAGTTCTGAATGGTAAAGTATGACTATTAAAGCAAAGAATTCAGACAGGGAGTTGTGGTTCAGCGGTAGAGCATTTGCCTAGCATGCATGAGTTACTGGGTTCGATCCTCAGCACCACATAAAAATAAAATAAAAGTGTCCACCTATAACTAAAAACAATAAAAAATTAAAAAGCAAAGAATTCTTTTTTTCATATATAAGACCATGAAAAAATTTCAATAAATCAACAAATAGGCCAAACATGATAAATGCATCTTAGGTGTTAAGTAAATAGGATCATATGAGACTACTACTTATGAAAAAAACTTTTTAAAATACTTCAGCCACTAATTTCAATTCTGAAATATGATTACTTTAACTGTTGAAATATTTTCTAACAAATAATATACAGATAACTTTAGTCTTAATATAAGACTTGCAAAAAGTCAATGACTTTCTGGATTACTCACATTCAGAAATAATTCCACATCATTAAGACAAATCAAGCTTAATCACTTCAGTCACTTCAACCAGTAATTAATACCCTTACCCTGTAAGTCATTTTTCAGCTATGCTTCAAAATATTTCAAGCCTAGATTAATCCAGATCTCTGGCTCTATTTTGCCTATACCTGAAGCCTTATTATGGTCAACTGATGGCTGGCTGCCTTTTTATTTGGAAAAGTAATGGCACACTTCACTAAACATTAAAAAAAAAAATATTATTCCACTGTACTATTTACTACCAGAATAGAAAAATTATCATCTGATTTACTATGCAAAGCACATATTAAGTTTAAAAAAAAAAAAAAAAAACCTACTTGGGAATAGAGGGGGTGGTGGGCCAGGTAGAAAATAATCTCTGGATGCTCCATACATGTTTCCTGGAGGTGGAGGAGGTGGAGGAAAAGAAGGTCCTCTTCTCATGAAATGACTCCTTGGGTCCACTGGAAACAATGGACCTCGGATTGGAGGAAGAGGTGAAAAACCAAAGCGAGAGCCAGTTGCTTGGTTTTCAGCAGGCAGAGATGAATCAGGCACATTTGAATTCTGAAACAAATTGACAAGTTACAGTCACTAAAAACAACAACAAAACTTGCAATAGCTTTCCTAAAAATCTTAGGTTTGGAAGAAAGCACATAGGCTCATGTACAGAAAGTATCTATGACAGTCTTAGAAAGCTACAGAGAAAGATTCAGTTTTCCACTTAAACCAACAGCTAAATTTTAGCTACTATTAAGTATTTTATTAACTTAACAGAAAACAACTTCAATCAATAAAGTATATTCTGGTTAAAGATAAAACAGATATAGTCCAAGAATATCAAAATTACAATCTTTTATCAAGCAGATATTAAAACACAAGAAAGAACAAGATGCATATATTTTCAAAGTATCCAAAACCAATATTGTAATTGTGGTAAACAAAAGTGTACTGTCACGGTTTAGATGTGGTATCCCCCAAAAGCTCACATGTGAGACAATGCAAAAAGTTTCAGAGGAGAAATAATCGGGCCATAGCATTAACCTAATTAGCTAATTAATTCCTGATGGGATTAACTGGGTGGTGGCTGGAGGTGAGTAGGGTATGGCTGAAGGAAGTGGTTCATTAGGGGTGTGACTATGGGGTATATATTTTGTATTTGGAGAGTGGAGTCTGTCTGTCTGTCTGTCTGTCTCTCTCTCTCTCTCTCTCTCTCTCTCTCTCTCTCTGCTTTCTGATCATGATGCAAGCTGCTTCCCTCCACCACACTCTCCCCCACCATGATGTCCTGTCTCACCTTGAGCCCCAAGGAATGGAGCCAGCCTTCTGTGGGCTAAGACTTCTGAAACTGTGAGCCCTCATATAAACTTTTCCTTTTCTACAGTTGTTCTGGTCTGGTCTTTTAGTAACAGCAGTGAAAAAGCTGACTAAAACATCTACTTTATGACACTCAGGTTAAAATCAAAGAGGGAAATCTAATCTTGTAGTCAACTAGTAAACTAACTCAAATCTCTGGCCTGCAAGTTGTACTTTATCTCCACAGGTTACAATTCAGAAAATAAGAAGCTTTAATGCTATATAGAAAGTTTATTTGTTAAAAGAGAGAAGCAGCTTTATATTCTATTCTAGTAAGCAAAGAGATTAGAAGACTCTTGAAAACATGAATAAAATTCCAGTTTCAATACTTACATCAAGATCATCTTTGGTATCATTTGTACTGGATTCCATTTCTAAAGACATAGGCCCATCTAGAAATTAAACCATGAAAATAATTAAACCATGAAAAATACATGATTTATCACTACATATGTAGATTATTTCCAGATCACAAAGGACATTGACATTTTCTCATTACCCTTGATGGCAAAGAAACCAGTTTGACACCTGCATTCTGTATTCAGGCACCAAGTACAGCCTGACAGCCATGAAAACTTTGGCAGAAAGAATTCTGCAACAGTCTATGGCAAGTGATTTCTCCAGCTGATTCCTAAGCAACCCTACAGCAGCAGCATCATAAGGAGACATATGGGAAGTAGCACCCTTCTCTTCTCTCCTTTTCTCCCTCCCTTTTCTTCCTTCCTCAAGTGATATAGTGTAGCCATTTGAAGCCCCTGTTTTTAAATGAATGTTCCTGGACTTTATCATCAAAAGCAGTTCAGTCCCCAAGGAATAAACGCTAACTTCTCTCTGGCCACATCTACCTTATTTCTCTAAGCTTTCTCATTTAGTCACTCTACATCGGTCCTTGGATGTCTTTAAGGCTTCCAGTCCTCTCATCTAGTCTTCTCTCTTCCCTTCTTTCCCTAATTGAGTAGACTTCAAAGTCAATCACTTCAGCCAGAAGCACAGTCATTTTTCAGCTGTGCTTCAAAACATTTCAAGCTTAGATTAATCCAGATCTCTGTCTCTACTCCTGTACTTTGCCTATACCTGAGACACCTAGTACTGCCAGGAGTGGGAAAAAAAAAACGAGTTATGTGGTCTGGCACCACTCTATCATACTTCCAGCAGCATACTTCCATCTTCTAAGCCAGCTTTCTCCTTAGCAATTCAAATCTCCATTCTCTTCAAAATTGCATGGTACACTCCTTTAATGTTTGTGATAAACATAAACATGCTGCAGCTATATTTTTATGATCTTTCCTCCTACTATCATGGAAAAGGATCCTTCTAGACAATCTATGATCCAGAGTCCAAAATCCCTCTCCCTCCAGCTTCCTCAGGGATCTTCCCCTCTCTGTGGGCTTCTTTCTGTCTTTCTGCTAGGTTCTAATCTCTCCTATTTAAGACTGAGAAAGAAAAAGAGAATCCTTTTGTAGCTCCCTCTCTTCTTCACAATCAAGAACTATTCTTTTCATAAGAAAAAAAGAACTATTCTGTATATATTGTTCTAAATTTCTCCCCTTTTGCTCTCATTTTACTGCAATTCATTTGCAACAACTACTGATCCACTGAAATTATTTTCCCCAACATCTGAAAATCTATTTATGTACTAAATTAAAATAGATGTAATTAGTCCTCATTTTACGTTACACTAGTTCCTCTCTTATCTAACATTTCACTTTCTGTGGTTAGTTATTCACTGTAAACTATGGTATAAAAATATTAAATGCAAAATTTCAGAAAAAAAGCAATTCATTTTTAGATTATCTACCTTTGAGTACATGAATACCATGTACTCAAAAAGAAGTACCATTCCACTCTTCCTATCTAGGATATAAATCATTACTTTGTTCAGTGAATCCGCTCTCTATATACTGCTGGTATACATGTATCAGCAGAGCATATGTATCAAGCTATGACTTGTGCTACCTTTTTCATTTTTTGCTCATGCTTAGTTTTTCAAGTTCCCTGAAAAGCAGCTTTAATGATACCCCCTTAATAAGGTTTTTCTGCTCTTTCAACTAGATGGGAATTCTCCTTTTCACTGAACAAAGCATACTCTCTACTGGGACTTACTATTCTGACTTGTACTAATAAATAAACATATATATTTATTTTTCTCCCTACTGAATTATTAACATCTTATAGGCAAAGACTGTATCTTACTATATACTGCATTTTATGCAAGGTATCTCCTAAATAGTAGGCACTTAAAATAATCTGATAAATTATTTATTGTTCAAATAGGGAAAAAAGGAAAATAGTAAAAAATTTTAAACAGCATTAGCTAAGAAATGAATGTTAATCATGCATATACATATTGAACATGAATTACTGGGGGAAAGCAACCTCAAAAGCCAAACAGAAAAAATTATCTTAATTATAACCAATAACAAAAACATAGACTCTAGATTTGCTTCTTTGCTCACTATCCAAAAAATTACTAATTTTCTGAAACAAATACTTCAGTGGATAATGTCCCCCAAAATACATATATATAATATATGCATATTATACATACATTGTGTTTGTGTGTGTGTGTGTGTGTGTGTGTATTAGAGGATATAATAGAGGTTCCTTTCGTTTGGTAATTTATTCTCTTATCAATAAATTAATTTTAATACTCCACTTCTTAAAAAATTGTTTGGCTTTCTTAATGTTATACATTTTTTAAAATGCTTTTTTTGGGAGGGGGGGTTGTACATGGGTACAATATCTTTTATTTATTTATTTTTATGTGGTGCTGAGGATCAAACCCAGTGTGATCCAACCAAGTGTGATCAAACTCACACTTGCTAGGCAAGCGCTCTACCATTGAGTTACAACCCTAGACCCTATGTTAATACTTTTTTTTTTTTTTTTTTTTTAGAATTTTTAGTATTTATTTTTTAGTTTTTGGCAGACACAACATCTTTGTATGTGGTGCTGAGGATCGAACCCGGGCCACACACACACCAGGCAAGCACGCTACCGCTTGAGCCACATCTCCAGCCCCCTATGTAATACTCTTGATTGCTACACTAGATACATATACTTTCTAACTTCAGTAAATGGTTGTGAGGTAGTTTAAGTAAAAGGATACCTGACTAATAGTAGATTGCTCAGTAATTGTTACTTAAATCTACTTATGAAATGTTGTAGCAAGGTAACTGATTAAATCATTAATAGAATATGTACCCAAATTGTTTTTCTGGTGGACTTTCTCATATACATTCACATTTGCTTAATTTCTCTACTTACTAAACAGGATATATGTAAGTGGACAGGAAAATTTTTAAATTTTTTTTTTAGTCATAGCTGGACACAACATCTTTGTTTTATTTATTTATTTTTACGTACTGAAGATCAAACCCAGCACCTCGCACATGCTAGGCAAGCACTCTACTGTTGAGCCCCTGGAAAATTTTTAAAATAGCCATGGAATAAAGTTTATCATCAGAGGTACATAGAAGAAACCCATTACCATAGTGCTCAAACCAATTGCCATAATATATTTGGATGCCATGTCTGTGTAGAATATAAAAAGAAACATAAAACCAGGAAGTTTCAGGAAAGAGATTTCAGTCTTATGAGCTAACAGACATACATTTACATTATTCTTTCATTCAGCTTCCAGTTCTTTAGTGTGTCACTATTATTTAAACACACAAAGTATTTCTTACCCACTTTATCCAAAGAAGGCATATTAAAACTTCTGAGTTCTGCTGGTCCAGATAATCTACCAGAATTAGAATAATATCTATCTTGCCTTTGTGGAGGAAGAGGTGGATCAGAATATGGTTGACCTACAAAACAGATTTTTAAAATATCTTCATTAATATAAACATAAAATCTAACTTACTTAATTTTAAAAAACTTAGAAATTTCCCCTGCTTCCAAAAATCTCTGATTCATATTATTGGTAGACAATATTAATCTTAGAAAAATTGCATTCTGATGTATGAAATGATATGTCAATAGCTTTGTAATGTTTTGAACAACCAATAAAAAAGGAAAAAAAAGAAAAATTGCATACTATAAGCAATAACTTTGCTTTTATATTAAATACAAGTGTAATTTGCTACCTTGGATTTTGAAAGTTTCAATTATTATGTATAAAAATGTCAGTTATATCTATTTGAGTATAAAATGTACAATTTATCTTGATAGAATATATGAAAACAGAACTCAGTTAAAAATACATTTATACATAAATTCATTTAACTTCTATTATTACTATTATTATGGTAGATTAAGATGAATAAACAAACATATCAACAAAGACAGAAAATAGCTACTAGCATAGGGAGAAAAGAACAAGAAAATATAAGCATAGCAAGAAACTTGTTTTATAGTGAAACAAGTAACAATATGACACCACAGCAGAAACAGCATCAGTCAGAAATCATCAGTAGTAAAATTTTTACTAAATTTAACATTGTAAAACTCAGCATCCAACTCAAACTAAAGGGAAAGATCTCTAACTCAATAGATGAACAGAGGTTCACACTGCTAAGATTAAAGACATCTGGATAGACTCAAATTTAGACCCAGACTTTACCTAGATTCATCTACAGCCACCATCCTTTGTTCCTGGGGGTCATTTGTGATGACAAAATGGTAATTCCTGAGTCCTTATGGAACTCAACTTTCTTGAAAAAATTCTCGAGAGGTGTTGGCAATCTTTGCCAGGTATGTATATGTCCAAGTCCAAATACATGGAGAAAGTCAAAGAGGGTGAATTGTGTGACTCTCTCCTATCCTATTAGAGATATGAACAAATATCCTCAAATTGCTTTCCACAATGGTTCCAGGCAGTGGTTCAGAATGTGAACTCCGTACAATCATTATTAGATAGGTCACTCCTTGTCTGACTCAGTCACATGGGACTTTACTGAAACATTCCCCCCACACAAAGCCAAGGAAACCACCTAGCATCAACCAGAGTCAATGGAGAGAAATGAATTTAATGAGCTCCCAAGGGTTAGAGGATGTGATGGAAGATAGAAAGATCCAGATAGCCTTGAAGGCTCACTTACACTCCTTTTAGAATCTTAGCAAAGAGCTATCTCAGTGGAGCACAATTAGCCCTGTGAAAGTAAAGGCCAGCACTAAATACAGATCTAAACTGAGTTTTCCCTTTCTACTTCAAATACAGGATTAATTAAATGTCGGATTTGTACAAGAGGATGAAATAGGGAAACCTAAAAACCTCTCAACTCTTTCTTAACCAGGTCTCAAGATAATGTATCAATATTTTGCTTCTAAAATGCATGTCAAAAAATGAGCAAACTCCAAAATTTTTGAAATTTTGTTACAAATTTACTATATTATAAATCATATGCCCATGTTTCCCTCCACTGGCAAAAATAATCTGTTCCTTAAATCTACCACAGCCTGAATGTGCTAGATACTAGCAATATAGTGTTGTCTCAATACAGTCTGTGCCCTTCTAATCTAATGATAGAAATTAGTAAATATAATGAGACTAATGTCTTAATATAGGGGATACAAATTCATTCATACACACACACACACACACACACACACACACACACACTCTGGCCTAATGCTGATTAGAGAAATCAGAAATGGTGTTAAAGAAGGAATAAAACTTCCCTAAAAGGAAAGAAAAGAATGAACAAGTAAACAAGGGTACACTGGTCAAACACACCTATTCACACACACACACAAGATAAAGGTAGGTGGAAGGCATACAATAAATGAAAGACTGAAATGTAGAAAATAAGGATATAAATGGTTCATTCTTTTCATTTTGCTTTCATACCTTTGTTTTCTAAGACTTTATAAGAGAAGAGATGATTAAAGAACAGAAAAAGAAAAAGGATCAGAGAGAATAATGAATGAGGAGCAGAAATAAATACAGAGGCATGATGAAGCAATTTCTCAACCAAGAATTATACTGGAGAAACAACTATCTCATATACGTCATCCATAGCTACTCTTGACAAGTGGAGCAATCTACTAAAAATGAAAATATGAATATGCTTTACCCAGCAATTCCATTTCCTGGATAAATACACAGAACAAGTGTACAAAAAGTGCTAACCGCAGCATTGTTACCAACATTGAATCCCTGGAAACACTCTATAAATACTCATCAACAAGGATTGGTTAACTATATTGTAGATAATTTATATATACTGTGCTGATACTAAATAATTGTACTGCTATTAAAATGAAAAATTGTACTGATATTAAAATATAAGCTTTATATTAACATGTACATAATTCAAGAACATAATGTTGATAAGGAAAGTTGAAAAAATAATTTTTTTTATTATATATAGATTGAAAGTTTACACATGGGGCTGGGGATGTGGCTCAAGCGGTAGCGCGCTCGCCTGGCATTCGTGTGGCCCGGGTTCGATCCTCAGCACCACATACCAACAAAGATGTTGTGTCCGCCGAGAACTAAAAAATAAATATTAAAAATTCTCTCTCTCTCTCTCTCACTCTCTCTTTAAAAAAAAAAAAAGAAAAGAAAGTTTACACATGAGCAGTTGCCTTTAAAGGAAGGACAGTAATGTGCCCAGGAAAGAAAAAGGAACAGACTGCAACCCACTTATTTATGTCTTACACATTTATACTTTTTATGATTTTTTTTGTTTTACTTCCATATTTAAACACACACATACATATTTGAAGCAAATAATAATATGTAAATCTTGGGAAGTGATAAACAGGACTGTGCTACAATATCTCACTCTGAGAACTTTGTTAAATTACCTAATCTCTCTGAGCTTTTGTTTCTTCATCAGAGCTAGAATGATCAATAAAAAGCACTTAACATGGTATCTGGCACAAAACAAGCACCCAAAAGTAACTGTGATGATAAATTGAGTTCATTGTTATGAGTGATATACAAGAATATCCTGTAATCATAATACATATTTCACTGTTGTTTGAGTTCCTCCACTTTCCCAAATGACTGCCATATATCTTTTTCTCTCTCCAAATCACTGTCAGTCCTTTCCTTTCCCATTCCCCTAATCTGATGATCTAGCCATGTCAAGAAAACTAAAGCAAGTGGACACCTCCACTTCTCCTCTACATTTGTTCTCACTTACTTGGTCTTCCTTCCTTTCACAGTGGTTAAGTGATCCACTTTCTATTTGTTTCTACAATTACCATCTGGATCCCATGCTTCTTGCTTACTACTCAAGGGTTTCACTTTTCCATCAATACCCTCTCCCATATAAACATCCATTTCCTCTATCCTGGAATATTCCTAGTAACAGATAAACATGTACTAATATTATCATCTTTAAAAAACAAAACACCTTTGTTCCAGCTATCATCTCATCTCTCTCCTTCATTCGAAGTAAAATTTTTCAGAAAGTAGTCTACATTTGTCCCCACATCCTAATCTCTCATCAACCCACTCTTCAGGAACAATGACAATTGAATCACAGTTTAATGCTACATACACATATATAGATATATGTGTGTGTATATATATATGTATACATATCTGTAACTTATCAACAAAATACTAAGCATTAAAATTCATAGAGGATCACTGTATAAGAAGATATGTGATTAAGAGATAAACTCGGGGCTGGGGATGTGGCTCAAGCAGTAGCACGCTTGCCTGGCATGCGTGCGGCCCGGGTTCGATCCTCAGCACCACGTACCAACAAAGATGTTGTGTCTGCCGAGAACTAAAAAAAATAAATAAATATTAAAAATTCTCTCTTTCTCTCTCACTCTCTCTCTCTTTAAAAAAAAAAAAAAGAGAGACATAAACTCCCTAAAAAAAAATAGTAGCCTCAAAATTTGTGAACAACTTTAAAATAAACATCCTCTGAGAGAATAAAAGCATAGATTAAGCATAAATTTTAGGACAGCTCATTAGGTTAATGAAGACTTCATAACCTCATCAAGGGGATGAGATTTAAGATAAAATTCAATTCCACCAAATGAATCCTATCTGAAAGAATGTTCACAATGCAGAACAATGATCTCTGCATAAAAGCCAATAAAGTAAAAATCTATGTTCCTACTTCCACAGCTGTCCAAGGTACTCTGGTCTGCCTTTGTTTCTTAACTTAAGCATTAAAAGAATCCTCATCAATTAGGCTGTATATGTCTCTTTTTTTAATATTTATTTTTTAGTTTTAGGTGGACACATATCTTTATTTTTTAATTTTTATGTGGTGCTAAGGATTGAACCTTGGCAAACGCTCCACCTGAGCCACAACCCCAGCCCCAGTACATGTCTCTTTTGTTTACCTCTTCAAGACAAAAAAACACGTTTTTAAGCATGCTAGCAAGAAGACCAGACTTAACTTATGATTATATCACCAAAGTATAGTTGCTTAGTCTCTTTTCTACCTCTACATAAAATATATAAACTAAATCAGTAAACAAGAAGCACTGACAAAAGTAACAGAAACCACATACCCACTTCCTTCTTCTCAACAATTAAAACTAAGACTGTGAAACTTCAAAAAAGTATAGAGTGGGAATGTGACATAATCCCCTTTTGTTAATGTCTCTACTTTAGGTAGCATAAGATTTGCAAAGGATTAAGATTCTTATTCTTCTCTATTACTACTCCCTCTTGGGAAGGGAAAAATCAGACCTGTTAGAAAAATATACGATGGAATCTACAAAGTGTATTTTTAAACATAATTATATAGTAAGTGAAAATACATTGTAAGAGTATTATCCCTCTGGTAGATTACATTCCTGAACTCTATTCTTCATTTCTCCCTGCAGCCTTATTCTGAAGAGAGAGAATATATTTCCTGTCCATTTGATTCTAAATTGTGATATGACC